AAAACAATTAACGAGAAGAGGAACATTTCAAATAAATCGGCTTACAGTGGTTTGAGGAAACAGTGAACATTATAATTTGCTGATGTATGGCACTAGTAATCATTCGGGTAACCAGGACATTGACTGCATTGGTAATAGAATATTCTCTTCTCTACTTTCTCGCCAAATCCACTTTCGTACATTTATATTTTTAAAAACTACAAGATAGAAAGGACATTTTTTCTATTGAATATTTGATAACCTTGTAGGTTTTCTTGAATTATTAATGATAAAAGTAAATGATAGGATATCGATAATGATACTGCTAGCTGCTTGCTATGTTGGGATTTCGCACGATATTGACGATAACAATAACGGAAATATCATACGCAATGGGGTTTCGTCTAGAACTAGGTGGTTAATACTCGAGAGAAAGATGAACTAGACATGTACGATGCCCGTCATGAATTCGCTGCRAACATATACTTTGTTTCTCGTAAGTAAATCTGATAGATATCCTGAGTCCTTGTCAATACCTTGGAGAAAATCATAAGAAAAAATATAACACTTCTTTATGCCCATAGATTTTCATAGAGCTACTAGTACGGTCCAACGAACAGAGCGATGATGGTAAGTAAAATTTACTTTCACTTTAGCATTGGCAACTGAAAGTTAGTAGAATTATTTTACAAGTTTATATCAGGGCTAAGTATACTCTACAACTACAGCAATGTMTTAAAAATAAGCATATAACGGTTGCTTTGAGTTAATTTAATCCCAGTTAACACTTGTTACTGCCAAACCTACTGTAGATCAAGGTTGATAATTACTTGAGTTAATCATAGCATAACCTCAAATATATAATAAATTGCATCGCCGCCGATTATGGATGCGGCAACTAAACAATTAATTTTAAAAGATGTTCAGACGAAAACGATCTCGTTATAGTTTTCTCTTTAATCCTAAAATCCCGAGTAAGGAAATCTCTGTCACTGAGCGATAACCGGCAAAAATAGTCTGAATGACTGAAAAATCCAATCTGGATACATTATTTATTAAATTCTTTTTTTTTTACTTTTTATTTGTATCCAGTATTGTGAGATACTAAGATTTAAGATTGCTATATACGCAGTTACAATGCAAGAGCTAGTTTGATAGCCGTAATGGTTCCTTACTAGTTTTAATTTTCGAGAAGTTGCTTGGCCATGGTTCTCAAAAAGGGGACTCACGCATTCACTAATAAATTCATACTTGTTGTAATATTCATCTTAAGAGTGTAGCCCACCCAAGCCCTTTGGGATGGAAAGTGGACTCATTCCAGATAGCCACATAACCAGCTCATCCGAGGAACCAGGATGGCCTTCATCCGCCGGTAGACTGTACAAGGTTCAAAGTGCTTGGTGTGCAGGGATACAGAACTCTGGTCAATGGCTACAGATAGACGTCGGTGAAAATAGGGAGCTTCTTGCTATTGCTACTGAAGGAGCTCAACATGCATGGATAACCGGGTATTATCTGTTGTACAGCCTTGACTTGAAGGAATGGTACTGCTTTGGCTACGAYGGCATACCAGAGGTTAGTGATGGTTTAAAACACTGTATAGTTATCAATACATGATAGACTGTTGCACTGCGTCATCGCCAAACATCCTTGTTATATAATTTTCCAAATTGTCTAAAACAAAACAGCACATTTCAATGCTATTCTTCTTTCCATATAGGATCATATTTATCAGCCCTAAGCTGTCTTAGGTTAACCGTGATATTTGTGTTGCTTTTCTTTGACCCTTAATAACACGAAGTCACCAAGACTACCTGAGATCAAAATATGTTATCTGTTGTTCCTGTCTTTTTTAATTCATTTTTTACCTTTTTTATTCACCGTTTCGTGTTCCTTTGCTAAGTGAAACAAACGGTCGGCTTTACACGAACACTTATGAGATCAATCCATGTATTCTTCAAATATTTCCTTAATTTGTAGGAGTTGGCGGCCTCTCAGTACTCCAGATTCCATGTTTTGTATAATCGACCTGTAGTCCGGTACATACGGATCAACCCAACAGGATGGCAAAACAAGATCTGTTTGAGGGTGGAAGTTTATGGCTGTAGGCTTGATGTTAATAGGAGTAAGTCGATCACAAAAAACAGAGTTATTTTAATTACCAATTCTCATAGACATAGATTTATTTTTGTTACCTGAATGTTTACATTGATCAAAGGTATTTTTCAAAAAATTGTTCAGAACTAAGGTACAATCTATCTAAAATAACTAAAACGTTAATCTAGTTAGACAGCTCAGTTGATCCACTGATCATTTCCATGCACTGAAAAAACAATTTCAAATTTGATASACCAAAGGGATTTCAGTTTAAACCATAAACACAGGCAGGAAAAACCTTTAGCACCTTCAAATTGGAATGACGCGAAAGGATTTTTTTWAAAATTCCAACCTAAGCCGTGAGCGCGGAAAATCCTTTTGTATCTTCAAAAMCCCTAAAATTTGAAATTGGGATGGGTTAAAAGGTTTAAAGAAAATTGAATATTGAAARTTAAAAATTGTTTTTCTTATTTTGATAAACGAAGCCATTTTTTGATTTTTAATTTTTAGTTGCATACTAAGAGATAATATTCTATTAATAATCTATTATATTATTTCTAATGGTATAGATAGGAGTGAGCCAACGGCGATGCCAAAGACGTGTGCTTACATACCTACTCAACCACCAATTACTTCTGTAACAGCCAATTCATCATTTAACATTACGAATACCAGTAACGAAGTGAGCACAACTACTAAAATAACGACCACCACGACAACAACCCCTGTTACACGTGAGTACGCCAGATGACAATGTGACGTATTCGTGACGTCATCATTATTATACGTTGATTAAAATTTGAATCATTGGGTAGCTTAATATCATCTAATAATCTATAACTGAATGACGACTAAATGGTAATCAAAGCTAAAAAGGTGATGGAGCGGTAATGCACTCACCTCTCACCTGACGTCTTAGGAACACATGTGATCAGAGTTTGTTTGGTCTTTCCCGGCCTCCATTATTTTTTTTTTTTTTCGGGTTCACCTGTTTTTTTCCCCACCTCAAAACCTAAATCGATTTACGAGGTCGAAAGAATACCCAAAAACCTCTAAACACAACCAGCAATAAAACCATCGCCTGCTGGCAGCCAYGACAGGAGGCAAGACAGGAACAATTGACTGGTCTAATATGGTTAACATGAGAAAAAATTCAGTTTCCCGGGGGGAAAAGACTTTCTTTTTTACTGATCGGCCTGTCAATCATGGTTGCCATCACGTGATGGTCAAAGCCTCTATACAAGTRTATGTATGCTACTGAAAGATACCATTTCGTTACAACAAACCAAAATATATGTTTTTTGGCCTAGTGAAACCTATAGACTCAGTACGTGTTCGTCTGAGCAAGACAATAATTCAGACCGGTAAAAACCTATTCATGGGCGTATTCTACCACGATGGTGATGCTGTTAACTACATATGGGATCTTGGTAATGGCGAGACAACACATCGCGAYAACAGTAAAGTTTTTAGTTACGCCTATAAACGTCCTGGTATATACCTTATTGAAGTGCTTGGTTATAATGATGTCAGTAATGCTACAGACTCTATCTATGTTAGTGTACTGGATGGTATAGCAGGGTTGAGGTTGTCGAGTGACATTGATCCAATGTTACCAAATACTACTTTCAGGATTCACTGGAACATTGAGCAAGGTAAAGAGTGTTATTTTAATGATTATTTATTAACTTATTAACGATATTATTAAATTAATTGGGGGGAAAAAACGTCTAAAAATGAATATATTACCTCTCTTAATTCTTCCCCTCAAAACTTTCGAAATTTTTTTTGGATTTATTTATCTGCACATTTATTACCAACGTTAACGTTACTACCCAAAAGTTACTAACTCTAAGCGATATCATTCAATTCTTAAAGGTACAAACGTGTCMTATAAAATTACATTTGGAGACGGCAGTCCTATCAAGATCGTCTTGGCTACAGAAGTTGGCGAAGGGCCGTATTCCTTGTACCATCGTTACCCTAGTATAGGYCACTACGATGTCAGCATTCAAGCAGTTAACCTAGTGAGCAATGCTGGACCTCTACGGAAAACTATCATAGTCGAAAAGCCGGTAACAGGGCTAAGAGTTCGTTGGATATTTCCACAAAGATTTGATTATGGGCCAAAAAAAATATATCTGGCTATTGGAGAAGAAATAAAAGCAGTCTCCAAGGTAACATCTGGGACGGACCCATTGTATCTGTACGATTTTGGTGAGAGAAAGATTGGTAACATTTCAAMGTCTGATATTTCATACCAGTACTCTACTACTGGGTTATTCACTATTGCAGTTAAGTGTTTTAATCACGTGAGCGCTCTTTCWCAAACTTATGAGCTTCCAATTTTAGTTCAGAGAGATGAACCAATCACTGGCCTGCAAATTTTACTCTCCCCAACCTCACTCGGAAATACTACTACTATTGAAATGTCAATAAGTACCGGGACTGCTTATGTATGTTACTGGTTGCTGGGAGACGGTTTTAGAACCTTAACAGATGTTGAATCAGCAAACAATACAATAAGTCATGTCTATAGATCCATTGGTCATTTTACCGTTAAAGTGTGTTGTGAGAACAGGTATGGAAATTCGTGTACACAGGCAACAGCCCATGTTGATATACCCATACAGACACCCAAAATGGCTACCTCACTCACGGCTATATATACCAATGGTAGTAAGGTTTTCAATGTTACCATACAGAATGGTTCGGACGTGACTTATAAAGTAGACTTTGGAGATGGGGAGACTTTTGAAGCACACTTCCCCAACACCACGACCAGAGATCAAGTGTTTCAAATCAACCACAATTACAATAGTGTAGGGATATATTTTGCTTCACTTACCGCTAAAAATCGTCTTGGTAAAGCACGCGTGGAAGGCGTTGGTCCWATTGTAGTCCAGAATCCGATATGGAAGAGCATGATTTTATTAATCAATACTAGTCCAGTCAAGATCCCCGATGGTAAAGTARCATTCTCCCTCAACTACCAGACCACTTTACGGCATACTCCTACTAAAGTCTCTTGCTTGTGGGACTTTGGCGACAGTTCAAAAACAAGCACATCTATTCCTTCTAGTTTAAAGCACAGTTACGTTAAACAAGGAAGCTATCGTGTATCCTTATCATGCGCAAATAMTGTAAGTAATGCAAATATAAGTACTCTTGCTGTGGTATATAGAATGATAACACCTGACGTAACCATATCCCCGCCAGGAAAAATTGTCCAACATTCTTCGGCATCAGACGGTATTTATTTTGCCACTGGTACCAACGTTACATTCTGTGTAACTTCGCAGTCATATGACATAATATACGTTTGGTCAGGTTTGGGTAGCACTGCGCATGCGTCAGTTAAACCTTGTATTTAYCACCTACTGTCGAGCCCTGGAAAATACACACTACAAGTCCTAGTAAATAATTCACTCGAGACAATGATCGTCAGGAAAAGTTTTCAAGTTCAAGACAAAATATCTGGATTACAAATAACCTTAAATGAAACTTACATCATCAAATCTGAGGTTTTGTTTATGTGGTCAGCGGAAAATTTCGGAACGAATGCGTGTTACTACTTAAATCTGAACRACTCTGTTAATGACGTCATTTTTGGAGCACCTTCTTGCGACCCACAACACCACAGCGCAAATAAACTGACTCTCTCAAAAAATAAAGTCATCGCATACAGATACGCATACGTCAAAGAAGGAATATATCATGTGACTATGAAAGGAATAAATATCGTTTCCATGGAAACAGCTGTTGTCAAGGTTACCGTGAGKAAGCCTCCATGTGATGTTTATAATGCAACTATTTCTTGGAATAACAAGAAAAATGATACCCTCACGTTTATGCGTTCTGAGTCATTCGAGCTTCATGCTCGCTTCAAACAGCATTGCTATTTCGCCGAAGGTTTTGAAATTAGTTGGAGATTCGCAAAGTTATCCAGTGGTGTAGAAAGTAATGTCCAGTTAAGCCCCATGCAAATGGCCAGGAAAGAATTTCTTTCGTTTAGAGCATTGGATCTAAGCTACGGAACCTACAAAGCTAAGGTTATCATTAGATTGACTGGAAAAGACCTGGACATTCTGTATGGTAGAGTTAGCACAATCAAAACACTCAAAGTTGAAATAGTGCCTTCGCCATTGAGAGCATTTATAAAGGGTGGGCCTTACAGAAAAATCGATCCAGATAACTCGTTCACGCTAGATGGAGGGAGTTCGATGGATCCTGATGAATATATACCAACATTGAACATCGGTTATCGGTGGTACTGTAGGATGTTTCAACAAGTCTTGGACAGGTATGTCGGCTGCTACGCTGATTACATGAGACCATYAGACATCCTTGGATATAGTCGTCTGCTGATCGTACAACCAAAAGAATTCATCAGGAATGCCACGTATTACTTCACACTGGAGATCTACAAGGAAAGCAGAACAGCTACGTACCAACAGGCGGTGTTTGTGACTTTTGGGCTGCCACCATCGATGGCGATAACGTAAGTTGTCATTGTAGCTGGTATTACATTTAAGYTTGCAGTCAAGATTTGTTTTTGAAATCGCGTATAGCGCTAAAGTTGGGACAAACTGGGCGGCAAGTCGCARAGAAATAATTCTGCGCCAATTACATGTGTACTTTTTAGGTAACATGTTGTGACCTGAAGACCAGAGTACCTACTTTTAAAACCTACTTGTGYCAAGTTTAATTTTGTTTTGCAGGTGTCTGCCAGGATGCAGTGGACTTCTGATCCCATCCTTAAGCCTCGTCTTACTTGCAGACTGTCTTAGCTGTGGTGATTCGGGCGGTGCCTTGGTTAATCGATGGGATATCTATCAAGAAGTGAACAAAAGTCTTAAACCATTCACGATTCTTGCCTCACAGACGCGTTATGGATTGAGTTCCTCTAGATTAGAAGTGCTACCAAATATATTTACTCCTGGCGTGAAATATCTAGTTATACTTTCTGCTTGGAAGCAAGGAGGTCTGCCTGGAAGCACTAACTACACTTTTGTGGCTTATAAAAACACTCCACCAAAAGCAGGAAACTGCTCAGTTATTCCTTCCTCTGGATATGCTATGGATACAACATTCACGATAACCTGCATAGCGTGGTTAGATCGCGATGAACCTTTAACATACACATTCAGTTATCAAATGGATAAAGACGTAACCCTTCTTTACTCGGGTGAAAAGAGCAAGTGGGATTTTAAGCTTCCAATTAAAGAAGGCGCAGACAACGCGACCCTAAATATCACAGCTGATGTCCAGGATTCGTTGGGAATGAGCTCTGTTGTCATCTCCTCTGTGCTGGTAAGTTTATACGGATTCATTTCGTRAAATACATTTATTATCGCATAAAAAATCCCAATGGTAAGTGCAAGATGCACAACTTTATAAATGCAGACTTGCACGTTGAAATTATGAACATTCTATTTAAACCTGACGAGACTAATCCTGAGCAGCAAAGATAGCGACACTGGAGTGGTCCGGATATRAGTGCTTTAAAGATATTAATTCTGGCTGAGCATGCATATAATTTTATGAAAATGAAACTGATTTTAGGCAAGATGTATGGAAGTTTAAGGTTTTTGATGGTTAATTTTCAATATCTTAGGTACAAAAGCCCAAGTCAATCGACTTGTCCTCGATAATGGACACCATGAACCAAGACACTAACACCGGAGGAGCAAGTAACACGAGTACCCCAGCCAAGAAAAAGTCTGTTGCGGAAGTCGTCCAGTTGACAAGTATTGTTACTTATTCTCTGAATCAAGCGAGCAAGACAACGATTAGCAATAATGACAATAACAATACTGGTAGTGGTGGTGATGGCGAGGCTAGAAGTGTTGAGGAAAACAAGAAAGCGCAAGAGGTGAGTGTAATTATTTTCTTATYTCTTGCGAAAAGTCTTTCCTGCTATTCCAGAAGACCAACCGATCCATTATCTCATGAGCACTAGTGGGATTAAAAGACTAAAGTGCTCTCAAAAATTTAATTTTCATCAATAATAACTATTAAATGAACTTATTTCTTAATATTCCTTATAAGATAAGARGCAGATTAACAAACCAACTATCAGACGTCATCAAGGGCCTCACTAGTAGTAACACTACCAAAGTTAGTGACCTGGACTTGGTGACCAACGCTCTGAGGGACTTGACAAAACAACCGGAGGAACTCTCTACTTCATCAACGGTAAACAAATATTTTAAGATTTGAACAAGTCCAAAACCTTAGTATTTTAACCATCAATAAAAATTCGAGTATCATATTAAAACCACGATGATCACGCGCTTTCAGAATCATTCGTAGCTAGGATGTGCGCAAGAGGAAAACTCTCCATGGGCGCCAGGAAAATAACAAAGTGAGAATGCACTTCTTCAAATAATATAACAAACACTTTATATTACTTTAAAAACTATRGATTCACCTTTAGACAATGAATAATTTAATTCATATCAATATTAATATCAAACAGAACCACTTCCAATTTCTACTAACCTTTAATATTTTGTGTTTTTGCATCGCATGCAGAYAGCAGTTTCTGATTCACTCTCAGACATAATGTTAAGCTTAAAGCTTATGATCCACTCAAACACTGGCTCCATGACTCCAGCTGAGAAAGCCAAGATGGCGGCGAGAGTGAAGACGGTAGCCACAAAAAGTATGGAAACGATTAGCAACGTTATGATGGCAGTGGAGTTCTTGTCGACTTCTTGTGTAGTGTCTAAAGAATTCAATGAAACGAGAGCGGTAAGACGTTTTTGGTCTTTCTTAAAGAAACATGGTTAAAAGAGAACTACATGGCAAAAACTGGCCGCCATGTTGGTCATGAAAACGAAAGAGAAATCTTTGGTTAATTTCAATCATCATGGCAGCTAAGATGTCAGTTAATAAGAATAATTATTATATGACCGTGAATCTTAGAACCTGGACACTAGCAAATCGAGCAATCTGATTGGATAGATCGCATCGCGGACTGGTCTAGATTCTCCGGTATTAACCGGTCCGATCGCATATCAACCTTACGGCGAAAACATTTTGTCCTTTTCAATGAAAATTGGTCATATAATAAAACTCTTATTAACCGAGCGGGAGGTCTGTACGGGATAATCTTGACCGAGGTCGGAATGTACAGACCGAGCGCAGCGAGGCTGTACCCGACCGAGGTCAGGATTATCCCGTACAGACCGACCAAGCTAAATAAAATATCTAAATAAAATATAATATAAAATAACAAAATCTTCATTCAAATTCATCAAATACACACACACAGTCACATTCCAGTAGTTTGGATATTATCATTACTTAAGTTGTATTACATATACGAAACATTCATTTTGTTTCAGAAAGAAGTGCAGTTGCTGGTCAAAAAAGTAATGGAGACACTAGACGAAATTATTAAAATACTGCTGCATTACAAGGAGGTTGGTGATCCTCCTTACTCTCTCCAAACATCATTCAGTAATATCACGCTGGAAAGAAACAACGGACACACCCTTAGCAACAAGACGTTTGCTTGTAGATCAGGATCGTTTGAGCTTCCTAGGACGCATGCCTTGTTAAAAGATTACAACAGCTCTGAACCGCCTATCATCGATGTACAGGTAAGAATAAAACTCAAAAATAGTGGATTACTACTTATCGTTTTTAAATGACTTATTTATAAATAGTAGCATCTAAATAGAGGAACACTAGTTTACTTTAGGCGCGATGTTTTCCCGTCATAAACCGTTTAGAAGCAAGATATATTATTTGAGTTAGTCGTCATGCAATGAAACAATCTTCATGGGACGGGAATGAAGCGTTTCCTAAACGGGGGCAATATTACCATACAAAAACTTAACTGGTCTATTAAACCATAATAGTTTTTGACTAAGAAAGTCGTTCGTTAAATTTCTTAACATTAAATTGTTAAATCTGGGTATATTTTCCTGATTAATATTATCTTCGTTTAAAGATGATGGAGTTCCGAAATCCCTATGAGTTTTGTAAGAATCCAAAAAATGTGACGTCAAAGCTCATAAGTCTAGACCTGTTGCGATCCAATGGCACAAAATACAACATATCCAACACCAATGAAGATATCCAAATTAATTTATCCCAGATAGGAGCATTAAAGCAAAGAGTTGAACTTGATTTATTCAACTTCTCGAGCGACGTGAGTAATACTAGATTCCATATGTTCAACTGGACTTCAATGGATTCTGCTATGAATATAGAATTTCTACCAAACTCATTATTCACTGACCAGTTAGTCAAATGGAACGTCTACGTTACTTATGGTCAGCAGAGATTATCCACAGGGCATGCGTCTGCTTGGTCGGTTTATTCGTCGAATATATCGAGTACTATTCACACTTTTCAGCTTGGACGTGATAAACTTCATTACAGTGGCGGATATAGGATCTATGTTACTGCAGATTTGCCGTCTCTTGAAGGAGAACAGTCGATGAATACTCGAATACTCAACATCTCGTATAGCCTGGGTGTCTACCAGTCAACCTGCTTCTACTGGGATGGTATGGAAAATAGATTTAACACTAAGGGATGCAGGGTGAGTAATCCCCCTTATTTATTCACATCTCTCATGCAGTTCTCCCTCTCTTTCCTCGACTGTTTCGGCCGAATCAAAGTGCGGRCAGAAACTTAAATCGTGCCCATGCGCCCAAGGCGACGCGTTTTAGATTTATACTATGATTCATTGCCCATCTGCATTTTTTTCTTCCCCTTCCAAAACTGTATGTTTTCCTTATGTTGTACTAGTTAATATAACACGTGACTGACATGCAAATGATGATCATTACAAATCTGACTCAGGTTGGTCCAAAGACAAACCGTAAAACAACTCAATGTTTATGCAACCATTTGACGTCATTTGGGTCAAGACTGGATATAATACCTCATTACCTTGGATATGATGAAGACGTCATTGAAATTCTCGAAACTTCTGCCAGTCCTATAGTTCTGTCAGTTGTTCTGGTTGCTCTTTGTATCTATCTCGTTATTCTTGTCTGGGCAAGAAACAAGGACACTGAAGAGATAGAAAAGGTAAATAAAGGAATTCACTTTTTTAATCATAAAAGAGAAAACGTTGACAAATGGCCAAAACAAAGTCAGGCTTTTTTCGGGCCACGTCTGTCATTTTCTTTAGAATATATAGATCTTTTGTTTGAGTTTAATCCATAATGATCTACCTTCTTGCAATGAATATTACTGGTAGATAAAGAAACAGATAATCAAAGAAATGACAAAAAAATGTTATTATATCATACAGTAATCTATCCATTGGTCATGTTCCACAGGGAGAAATCGTGCATCTTTCAGATAATCATCCAAATTATAAATTCAAGTATGAGATCACAGTTTTCACTGGTAGAGGAAACCAAGCGGGTACTACAGCAAATGTTGCTTGTATCGTGAGAGGTGAGGATGGAGAAACTCCCCCACGAGGACTTAAAGATTATCACCAACAAAGATTCCAAAGATCAGGAACGGACGCATTTTTACTCTGCACACCTTTTCATCTGGGAAAATTAGGATTTGTCGAACTCTGGCACGRTAACACTGGAGAGAATCCATCTTGGTATGTTGATAAAATTACCATACGAGATGTATTAAAGGATCAGGTGTACTACTTCATGTGTAACAGATGGCTGGCTGTCGAGCACGATGACGGTCAAGTCAGTAGGACACTTCCTGTTGCGAAGAAAGAAGAAATAGAAGCGTTTGGGCATTTGTTTCCAAGTGTGTCGCGAAGAAACCTCGCAGACAGACATATATGGTTGTCTGTATTCAACAAACCAGCCCGTAGCCGATTTACAAGAGTCCAAAGAGCATCGTGCTGTTTGGCTTTAGCCTATTGCGCAATGTTGTGCAATGTGGTATTTTATGTAACTGGTTCTGAATCAAACCCTACTGACACTTTTCAAGCTGGCCCACTAAGGCTGTCAGCTTACCAGATATATACTGGTATCGTGAGCTATTTAATCATATTACCAGTAAATTTAGTCATTGTTGGAATCTTTCGAAGTATTAAGGATAAAAACCGAGATGAGCAAGACAAAAATGGCAAACCAAATGAGCCGCCTGTGATATTAGAGCAACGTGATTTAATTCCACTACTAAACTGGTATAAAATAGCGGGTCAATCAGAAACAAACYTTTGCAAGGAGTCCTATTCCACAACGTACCAAGGACAAAATACTTTCAAGGAAAAAGCGTTGATCTTAACAGGAAAACAAAATGATTCCAAGCTGCAAAAGACAATTGAAGAGCTAGGTGTTCTCTTACCATCCATCAAATTAGGAGTAAATGAACAGCTTGGGCAAGCTTTACAGAAAAAGCAAAGAAAAGACATTATACGATTACCCCATTATTTTGTTTATCTCGGATGGTTTTATTTCATTGCATTGTCTTCTGTCTCAGCATATTTCGTTGTTGCTTATGGAGAACAATTCAAAGAAGAAAAAGCATCACAATGGCTAACATCAGTGATTGTCTCTCTTGTCTTCGATGTTGTCGTTTTTAACTCAGTCAAAGTCTTGGTGATTGCTTTGTATTTTGCTTTGGTTTTGAAACAGCCTGATGAAGACGATTATGGAATAAAGCACGAGGCACAAAATGCGAGACTGTTGAGACATGTTGAATATAATAACATAACAATACCAGCTGTACCGTTAGCACCAAGCAAAGAAGACCTCGGAAAAGCACGAACGAAGAGACTCCGTGAGATCCAAATGAACGTGATYATAAAAGATATGGTGGTGTATGTGTTTTTCTTGGCTTCGCTTCTCATGGTCAGCTATAGTCATCGTGATCCACAGGCGTTTGCTGTAGCACAGAACTTGATGGATACGTTTGTAGGTGGCATCTACGTTGGAAACAGTCTAAACGAGGTGGGTTGATTGATTGATGTATTAACCATTATGTTGGATGTGGTCTTTGTACAGGTTACTTGTCCGCATCATCTGTAAAGGAAGAAGCCATGCAGGTAGCCATGTTYTCATACTTAATATTAATATTACATTTATCATTAATCCATCAACGGACTATGTCTTGTTGGTTTAAATTTGTGGGAGATGTCCTTTGTGAAGAAAGTGCACTTCCAGTAATGCAAAGGAAGTGATTCATAGCTTTTCTTGGCAATCAGACATCTCCCTAATTTGCGAAGTTTTAGCTTTAAACACCATTGAAACGGATTAGTCCATGTTAGATAGAGTCTGTAATGAGGCAACAATTTATGAAATATTATATATTACGTAGTTACCAATTTCATACAGTTATATCCAATAACTCATGTGTCTAGGTTGATGGTACGGCAAATTACTGGAAATGGATAGAAGAAACAGTCGTCCCAAGCCTGTCCTCAGCGAATCGTAGCTGGGCAGCTGAGTGTAATCCAGCAGTTGATTATGCGATTGGCTGTAATACGCGTGTGATTGGTGCTGGTAGGTTGAGGCAGCTCCGAATACCTCTAGGTGAGTAGACAAATTGATGATTAAGTTGTTGATTATCTATGAGAGACGCAACAATCTCTACGAGTGGGTAATGCCGAGTTCGGGGAACGCTTTTAGTTACCCAAAAGTTGGGGCAAGTGCAGTGTCGCTACAGCCGAGTGTTTAGTAGTAACTTAAGAAAGTTTGACTCTTTCATTGTATCGTACCTCTTATTTTATATTCTTACACAGGTACATGTCAAGTCCCAAAAGCTATACAGAACGTTACCAAAACTTGCAACGACTTTTATTCCCTATTCAATGAAGACAAAGCAAACTACACAGAAGGTTGGAAGCCGAGTAATGTAACAACCGATTCATCAACAAACAGTCCTTGGCATTACCAATCCATGTTTAACATCGGTGGGTACCCCTACATAGGGTTAATGGGTACCTACAGTGGAGGAGGATATATACAGGAGCTACGAAATACTGGCAAAGGTTTGAAGGCATTGAAGGAGAATTCATGGATTGACCAACATACACGTGCTATTTTTGTCGAGATAAGTGTATATAATGCACAAATCGATATGTTTGGGATTGCAACGTTTCTGACCGAGTGGATGCCCACAAATGGAGTTCTTTACTTCAATAATGTCAAAGCGGCGCGTCTTTTCATTAAAGCCGATACCAAACAAGCGATGACGACGGCCTGTCAAATATTTATGGTTCTTTTCCTGTTTTTCTTTGTTTACGGGGAATCGAAAAAGATTCGCAAGGAACGAAAATTGTACTTTAAAGACGTATGGAACTGGTTTGAAATAAATATTATCGTATTTATCTTCGGATGTTTAGGTACGTTGTACCAGAGATCGAAATTTACAACCAAGGCTATCCATGAAATGCAGAAGAACCCAACAAAATACATTAGTTTGATTCAAGCAGCAACATTCGATGAACTTCTGACTTATTTCCTTGGTCTTGTAGTCTTTGTTGCAAACCTCAAACTTCTTAAACTCTTCCGCTTTAACCATCGGGTTTATCTCTTCACTAGAACACTATCTAACGCTAAATCTCCTCTTATTTCTTTTATGATGGTTTTCTCTATCTTCTACCTAGCCTTCTGTAGTATTTATTACCTGATATTTGGAAGCAATATGTATGATTATAGATCAATGATCAGCACTATAGAATCTATTTTCAACATCTTGTTGGGCGGGTTTGACTTCAACAGTATAGAAGAAGCTGACCGAATTTTTGGGCCAATCTTATTCTTCTCATTCATGCTTATAATGGTAATGATTCTCATGAATATATTTTTAACTATTTTGATGGACGCGTTTGCTGAAGTGCAGGGAGACGAGAACCTAAAGGCAAATGAACTTGAAGTTCTAGATCATGCAATGGCTCGATTAGACCGCTTTATCAAAGCAAGGAAGAGAAACAAAGTTGGAGACCATCCTGGTGCAGCAAATTCGTCTCAAGAAGACCTTAACAATTCTTCTCAGAGAATTAATGCAAAAGAAAGTGAATTTGATGCTTCAGTCACTGAAAACAATGCCGAAGACGAGTATAAAGAAGAACRATATTCTGATAATGAAGATGCCCTTGACAAAGCCATAAAAAGAGTTCAGCTTAAAGTTCGTATGAAACAAATGGCACTGGGTGGATTATTCCCAAGTAAATCGTTTGGGGTTCTTGGCATGGTCAACTACACAGGAGCCCCGTTACCCCTTAAAAGAACTTTAGATGAGAAGCTTATTGACTTGACAGCTTATTTTCAATGCACAGCACTAGACGACATTACGCTTGACCGAGCGTRTGAAGAACTTTTTAGACAGTACGTCAAGATTACAAAGAACTTGTTGTATGAAAGAGAAATGAAACGACAGGCAGAGTTTGCCTCGAGTTGGGAAAGACCTCAAACAACCTATAAACAAAAACAGAAGAACGTTTATACAAGAAACATGTTGGAAGACTGAAATCTAATAATAAATGAGTATAAACAATGAGATATTACGATTTTCTTATAGAAATATACAATCACATGCATGGTACTTGTGTCAGGCATTGCGTTTCACAGCGCAGAATTATTTTTCTTTTCGTCGTTTAAATCAAACCACAAAACTTGAAAACACTTCTCATGCTATCTATGATCGTTTATGGTGTTATTTATCGCTGAATTTGTGAACTGAAATGAGAATTCATGATTGGCAAGTAAAAGTGACTTTTGACCACAGGCAACCCAGTAAAAAGGAAATAACAGCCACAGTGTTGTATTCGAAACCTCAACACATTCAACTTTTGTTTTTTCCTTCTCGAACAGCTTTAAGGTATAAGAGGTAAAGTAAATCTTCAATAAAAAAATGCTGGATACTAAATAAAGTTGTCTATAAGCTATTTTATCAGTCTATTCGTATCACATTCTGAGAACTGATCCGACAGGAAGTCATAACTAAGCAAATATAAAATGACTGAGTAATTATGAAAGTGGACCCATAGCAGTAGTAAGAAGGGAATCAAGAGACATATATATAAAGTTAAGTTATAATTAAAGAAACAAACCCCATCAATGCAGGTTAGATTTTTCGCCAACCTATTTTAAGAACAATGCTCGGAATATTATTATTCTTTCGCCGGGTCGTTTAGCTCTACATATCTACCTAAGCAAATATAAATTGACTGTGGCTTAACCCCTAGCATAACTGACTGTATTGCTAGATCATTAGAAAACGATGTACAAATTTCATGGCCTCCATAAAAATTACTATCAAAATTTATATTAAGTAATATTAGCCATAGGATAATCATAATTATAAATGATTATAATTAGGTGCATAAACTGGCATGGAAAAATATTTTATGTCAACGGTACTCTTTACATGGCAATTTTGTGGACAATTTAAGACTGTAAGGGGATAAGTATTTTGGAATTTAACAAAAATAAAATTCAAAAGTATGCAATTTTAAAGGTACAGTATGTACTTTTTATGTTTGATTTAACCATAGCTAATAAATCAAACATAGAAAAAAGAGTTTATAGAGAGAGTACTAT